GAACCCAATGAAAAGTAAATCAATTTTCCGGATCTATTCTTAAGACTTTCCGGGATTTCAAACTTGTCTTCATTTCCGGTTCGTTTAAAATTATCAAATGCATGGAAAGTGTCGGGAAGTGGTCTGATGTCCGTATAATCCAATTCCTTAGGAGTCATATATATGTTTGCAAAGGGGGATGGGGTCCAGAATAGGAATTCCTGAAGTTTGGGACATCCCATTGAAATCAATTGATCCCTATATTTATACCACATTTCACGACTTCTTTCCCACACTTGTTGTCTGTATTTCTCCTTCACTTCTGTCTCACTATTTGTCGGCAATCCTTATAAACGACAAAAATATTTACAAATAAAATTATTTTGAATAACTTTATTGAAATTTTATATTTTTATAAATAACTATAGATACCTAAAAATGGTGGTGGAAGTATGTCATCCGGGTATCCGCAGTTTAATGACAATGTATTAGCACTCCAACTGAATATCCAGGGTATACCTGATGTGACAATCGATGGTAATTGAACAAGCTGGTCACTTATTATGACATCCGGCTTGAGATCCTCTATAATAGTCTTAACCAATGGATCTGTTTCTGTCATTTCTTTTAGACCATAGCTTAGAATCCAATCGTTGACAAGAATAGCCATTTCCAATGGAGTGGTGTTTTGAAAAAGGCCCGACTCCTCGATCTCAGTCACGTTGCTCTCAGTTGAGTCAGTCACCACTACATCCCCGGTCACCGGGTGTCCCAGAAGTTTCACCTCAAACCCAATGGACTCGAGCCGTGACTTCCAATCGTTGTTAACCGCAAACACACAGTTGTATCGACCGGTATCTCTCAGTACCTCAGCCATACCTATACTAACGTTCATAGAACCCGAAAACTGAGCAGGGGCAAACAGCACGGTTAGTTTTTTAATTGACATTATTGTAAACTAGCGTTTAATTTGAGAATGTTATTAAAATTTTTATTTATGTTTAATGAATTGTATGTTTGCATTAAATGTAAACCTTTTTATAGCTTTTACGTTATAACTTTTGAACTAATAATATTATCATGGACACACATTAACAGCGATAGAAATTATCATATTAAACTAAAATTGCACTAAAATTGCACTGTTATTTAGTGTGTATCTTGAATTTATTTGTATAAAAATTCATTAAATGTAAACTTTAACTGATCAAATGTTATTAATGTACTATACTTGAAATCTTACTGTAACAGTAACCTTGATGTAAATCATGTAACCTTTATAATCACTACTTTTTATTAATTATAGAAATTATTTTATTTCTCACAATTTTTGGTCTGCCTAATACATTTTGCTTATTAAAAGTTTATTTCATTAGGAGCACATAGAATGAGTCAGTAATTTGGTAGATGGGTGCAGCATGAATTAAAATTTTAATAACCAGGAATGTTACCCTGTTATATATTAATATAATTTGATATAAACACAGAGTGATCAACTGTGAATGTTCAAATAGTGAGCATATTAGCGAAATAGCTGAATGAATAGCGTACAAATAATGAACAAATTTTATAGTGGAATTAAATTATAATAATTTTAAAATTTTATTTTTTCAGTTAAAACACTTTTTATATCATTTTTTTTATAAATGTACGTACTGTTCAATATCTTTATAATGTAAAAACTATCTTTATAACAATATTTTAATGAGGAATATTTTCAGTTTATTATTACTTATTAAGGGATATTTAAAATATAATCATTTTATAAGGAATTTTATATTATTTCACACATTGTGGATATTGACCACAAATAGTGAACTGTTCACTAAAATAGTGTACAGTTGGTCAGTCTGACAGTTAGTCTTATATACAGTACCACTGTATTGATTCCACTCAAAGAATTGGAAACTGATTAGAAGATAATATTTAAACCAATTGAAGTACATTTTTAATGTTCATTTTAAGTAAATTTTGAGTGAAATCTGTTAAATTATTTAACCATCTAATCAATTTTATTAATATAGCAATAAATAAATTAGGGGCTGACCTACCGGTGAAAACAGTGCTGTAAAGACCCAGGCGCTAAGGAGTAGAAGTTATATTTCAGTGCTTTTCATAGATTTTTGTAGAAAATATTATAACTTTACCGTGTACTTTGATTTAACTGTACCGTACTATCTAGAGCACTTAATAAACTTAATAATAACACTTCAGTGCAGAGCGTATTTGATGAGTTTGATAATTTTTAGCCATCACTATATAAACAATTAGTTTTCGAATTATATTTCTATAAAAAAGTTGTCAAGAAATTAATAAAACTTTTTATTAAGTTTAGAAAGTGCTCTAGACAACATGCCTAACAAAAAGCTAACTGTCCTAATGGCACCGGTCCAGTTTGTGGGGCCCATGATGTCCAGTATAGGAATGGCCGAAGTGATGCGAGACGTGGGCGGACACGAGTGTGTGTTTGCCGTCAACAACGACTGGAAAGCACGGCTCGAGTCCATGGGATTTGAGGTGAAACTTATTGGGAAACCAGTGGACAGGGATGTGGTTGTCATGGATTCGGGTGATAGTAACGTAAAGTCGGCTCGCGAGGGGGGATTTATTGATGATATCACACCATTAGAAAAGGCTATTAGTAGCAGCGACTACATTATGAAAGTATTACCCAAAGAGATCCAAGAAACTGATCCATACATCAGGACTATTATAGCGGACCTGAAGCCTGATGTCATAATTAGCGACCATTTCCTAACACTTCCCTCAATAGTGACATCAGGCATACCCTGGATATTCAGTTGGAGTAATAATCCTCATTCACTGGATTATGGTTATGAGGATAAACGCCTCCCGCCATCATTTTTAGGTATGTTTTAGCGGATAATTAAATGAGTATTTTGAACACAATTTAATTATTTAATTACTTATGATATAAGGATTGCCGACAAATAGTGGGACAGAAGTGAAGGAGAAATACAGACAACAGATAAATGAAGCAAAAGCAGACAAATGGTATGAATATAGGGATCAACTCATTGCTAGTGGATGTCCAGAACTCAAGGATTTCCTGATGTGGACCCCATCCCCCTTTGCTAATATATATATGATACCCAAAGAACTGGATTATACAGACATCAGACCACTTCCCGACAATTTCTATGGATTTGATTGTTTCAAACGCAGTGGAAATGAAGTTAACTTTGAAATACCGGAAACTCTTAAGAATAGGTCCGGAAAACTGATTTATTTTTCATTGGGTTCTATGGGTTCCGGAAATGTAGAGCTTATGAAGAGATTGGTTGCGATTTTGTCCAAATCTAAGCACCGGTTCATTGTCTCCAAAGGTGTCAAACATAATGAATACGAATTGGCGGACAATATGTGGGGCGAGAGGTCTGTCCCTCAGGTGAAAGTGTTGCCAATCNCGGACAATATGTGGGGCGAGAGGTCTGTCCCTCAGGTGAAAGTGTTGCCAATCGTAGACCTAATGATAACACACGGCGGCAACAATTCTGTGACGGAAACCATGTATTTCGGTAAACCTATGATAGTCTTACCACTATTTACCGATCAATACGATAACGCACAGAGAATTCAAGAAAAAGGATTTGGTATAAGACTCGACGCTTTCAAGTGCTCTGAAAATGAATTATTGGATTCAATCGACAGACTATTAAACGACAAAATATTGGCCCAAAAGTTGACAAAAGTTTCGCAAAGAATTCAAAGCGAAAGGAATATCGAAAAACTCGTCAAAATTGTTGAGAATTTAGTGAAATAATATTTGATTGCTTAAAATTTATCTATTTTTAATAGTTATAAAATATTCCCACATTAAATTGATCAAATTTTAAAGTTATGCAATAGTCATTATACTATAATATGAAACATTGTGGTTTACTTTTAAATTAACTGTACTATTTAATCTAATTTGAAATAAAATAAATAATTAAATACTAACTTGTATTAAATGAATGCAGAGCTTCTACTTTGAGTAAAAGGGACTGTGACTACACACACGTTACTTATATTCACTAATGTTAGAGCAAATATTATCATGGAGTGCTATATTAATTATTAATGTATGGTGCTGTTATCAGTGTATATTCTACACTGTAGAATATACAGTAGTGTGTTTATGTCAGTATGTTTTAGTGCATAAAGGACAGTAACTAATCATATTGAAAAATAATCTACATTGATTATATAATTCATAAATTTCAAGACTAGCCTTCAAACTTAAACAGTAGTGCATGGACTGTACTGTACATTGAAAACACATTGTACTGGCTATAAATGAGGGAAATCTTTAATCATTATTAATGATTAATTATTAATAACTCATTATTGAATTCAATAAATTCAAACATTGTTTTAATGATCATTTGGTAAGCTTAAGTATCAAGGCTACTCTTGAAATTTTTAAAATCATATTATCTTGAAAAATATGATAAAGTATTTCTTTAATGTACAGTAATTTACTTACCGGTGCATCGAGTGAATACTGTGCTCAACATTAGGAATGCCTACAATTGCCTATTCATTTCCATTTAGCAAACTATAAAAAGGCATCAAAAAAGTTTGAAAAAACTAATACTAGTACTGTATTTCAAAAACTTTTAGAAAGCCAACAAAGTTTGCATCCAATGCCACACAGAAAGCTAACGGTGCTGTTCGCGCCCATGCAGTTCGTGGGTCCCGTGAACTCCAGTATAGGTATGGCCGAAGTGTTGCGAGACATCGGTCGACACCACTGTGTGTTTGCCGTCAAAAGTGATTGGAAGTCACGGCTCGAGTCCATTGGGTTTGCGGTAAAACTGATCGGAGAAGAGGTGGACAGGGATGTGGTGGTCACCGACTCAGCCGATACTAATGTGGCTCAGGCTGAGGAATGGGGTGTTTTGAGAAATGCGGATCCATTGGAAATGCTTATAAACAATGGCAAAACGATGGACAACTTGAAGGATTTTGTAGAAACTGATGGCTATCTGAAGACTATTATCTCGGATGTCAAACCGGATGTCATAATTAGCGACCATATGACCGTATACCCATCTATGGAGACATCGGGTATACCCTGGATATTCTTTTGGAGTGCTAATCCATTATCACTAGACTATGGATATCCGGATGAACGCCTCCCGCCCTCAATATTAGGTGGGATTTAAATATTGTATGAGTTATGCAAACATTAAACAGTATTTTTGTGTTATTTTTTAAGGATTGCCGACAAATAGTGAGACAGAAGTGAAGGAGAGATACAGACAAAGGATTAATGCGTCAAAGAGTGAGTCGTGGTATAGATATAGGGATCAATTGGTGTCAATGGGTGGCACTGCACCAAAAGAGTTCTTAATGTGGACTCCATCCCCCTTTGCCAACCTATATATGACTCCTAAGGAATTGGATTATACGGACATCAGACCACTTCCCGATAATTTCTATGGATTTGATTGTTTCAAACGCAGTGGAAATGAAGATAACTTTGAAATACCGGAAAACCTTAAGAATAGGTCCGGAAAACTGATTTATTTTTCATTGGGTTCTATGGGTTCTGGAAATGTAGAGCTTATGAAGAGATTGGTTGCGATTTTGTCTAAATCTAAGCACCGGTTCATTGTCTCCAAAGGTGTCAAACATAATGAGTACGAATTGGCGGACAATATGTGGGGCGAGAGGTCTGTCCCTCAGGTGAAAGTGTTGCCAATCGTAGACCTAATGATAACACACGGCGGCAACAATTCTGTGACGGAAACCATGTATTTCGGTAAACCTATGATAGTTTTGCCCCTATTTTTCGATCAGTTCGATAACGCACAGAGAGTTCAAGAGAAAGGGTTTGGGATTAGACTCAATCCCTACGAGTGCTCTGAAAATGAATTATTGGATTCAATCGACAGACTATTAAACGATCAAATATTGGCCCAAAAGTTGGCAAAAGTTTCGCAAAGAATTCAAAGCGAAAAGAATATCGAAAAACTGGTCAAAATAGTCGAGGATTTAGTGAAATAAGTGTTAGAAACCTAATTTTAATAAAATTAAATGATTATTGCCTTTAATTAAAAAATAATTATATAACTTACGCTGTAATGACATTATTATATTAACATGTTATTCAATGTTAATTGATGATTGAATAAACTACCGATTGAATAATCCTTGTATTAAAACAATTATATGAATTAATAGTGATAAAATTAATATGATATCATACTCTCTGCTGTATTAATACGAATAGACTTTGTACAGGAGTTTACATTAATTGTTAATATCTCTACTGTACCATTTATCTCTATGATTTAGTCATATAATATGTGCAATGGAAAGTTGAAGGGAACTCTGTACCTTTAATTAATAATACAGTATTAATATTGATTAAGGTTTATTGGAATACCAATACAATAAAAATAAAGCTTTCAATGCTAATTATTTTAAAACATTAAGGTACAGGGTTCCTTTCAAATTTCCATAACACATACTGTATGTTATAAATTA